ATTCCAATGGATGGTAACCTTGTCATTATGGAAGGTAGTCTTTAGTCAAGATTTTTGTAACTCCAATGGATGGTAGCCTTGACATTATGTAAGGTAGTCTGTTGTCGATATCTTTGTTACTCCAATGGATGGTAGCCTTGTCATTATGGAAGGTAGTTTGTTGTCAAGATTTTTGTTATTCCAATGGAAGGTAACCTTATCATTATGGAAGGTAGTCTTTAGTCAAGATTTTTGTTACTCCAATGGATGGTAGTCTTGTCATTATGGAAGGTAGTCTATTGTTGATATCTCTGTTACTCCAATGGAGGGTAGCCTTGTCATTATGGAAGGTAGTCTGTTGTCGAGATATTTGTTACTCCAATGGATGCTAGCCTTGCCATTTTGGAAGGTAGTCTTTTGTAGAGATTTTTGTTATTCCATTGGATGGTAGCCTTATCCTTATGGAAGGTAGTCTGTTGTCGAGATTTTTGTTATTCCAATGGATGGTAACCTTGTCATTATGGAAGGTAGTCTATTTTCGATATTTTTGTTACTCTAATGGATGGTAGCCTTGTCATTATGGAAGGTAGTATGTTTTCGATATCTTTGTTACTCCAATGGAATGTATCCTTGTCATTATGGAAGGTAGTCTGTTTTTGAGATTTTTTTTACTCCAATGGATGGTAGCCTTGTCATTATGGAAGGTAGTCTGTTGTCGAGATTTTTGTTACTCCAATGGATGGTAGCCTTGTCATTATGGAACGTAGTCTGTTGTCGAGATTTTTGTTACTCCAATGGATGGTACCCTTGTCATTATGGAATGTAGTCTGTTATAGATATTTTTGTTACTCCAATGGATGGTAGCCTTGTCATTATGGAAGGTAGTCTGTTGTCGAGATTTTTCTTACACAAATAGATGGTAGCCTTGTCATTATAGAAGGTAGTCTAGGGTCGAGATTTTTTTTACTCCAATGGATAATAGCCCTGTCATTATGGAAGGTAGTCTCTTGTCGATATTTTTCTTACTCCAATGGATGATAGCCTTGTCAATATGGAAGTTAGCTTGTCGTTTGGATTTTGGTTACTCCAATGGATGGTAGCCTTATCATGATGGAAGGTAGTCTGTTGTCGAGATATTCGTTATTCCAATGGATGGTAACCTTGTCATTATGGAAGGTAGTCTTTAGTCGATATTTTTGTAACTCCAATGGATGGTAGCCTTGACATTATGTAAGGTAGTCTGTTGTCGATATCTTTGTTACTCCAACTAGTCGATAACCCGTGCTGTCGCACGGGGCCGGTCGAGAATTCTTAAAACGTGGAACTAATGTTGTCATGTAACAGTAAATTCGTTTTTATGTAATTCAATAAAAGTTCATCTAATTCGGCCAAATTTAGTGTATCAAACTTATTTGACAACATTAAAAAATGTAAACTGAAATAATGATTGTGTAACAAAATAAGAAACTGTGATGACTCTTCAAAATAAGAAACTATCACGAGTCTTCAGATACAACGCAACCAGCTTGGAAACGATGTTTTCAACTTTTTGACCTGCACAATAAATTATGCAAAAATTAGACAGCATTTACGGAAACAATTTATATTAAAGAAAATATTTGTTATTATGTACTTACCGATCAACAAAGAGATTGGAAAACTTCTTTGTATACAACATTTGTAGTGATAGATGTTGATACATTCATACAATCATGTATTAAGATCTTTAGACCACTTTTGCTTGTAACTCTTGAAATGGCTACATCCAACTGGCCATGACTGAATACAGGAGTAGGCAAATACAATCCAACTGTAAGAGTAACAAACCTATATGGAATTGTTTGGTTTTGCAGTTCATAACATTTGTATTCTAATTTTTAAGTGTACTCAGATACTCTATTTGTACATTGGATATGAGATAGGGTACAGTGCATTGCATCAGTGAAGTTGCTATATAACATTAATTGGGTTTCATCATTACAGTATGTGCTACCAAAGCTTAACAATTATGGGTAGAGGTTAAAAAAGTTAATGTCACATCAATACCATATGTTGGCCAAACTTCGTAATATTATAAATTTCAATGTTGAACTTGTAAATGAATGAACCACATGTATTTAATTTTGATTTTAAATATATATATATATATATATATATATATATATATATATATATATATATATATATATATATATATATATATATATATATATTAAGATAAGCTAAAATAATTGATCAATCAAAATTTGATCTATTTTGAGTCAAATAGTATTTTAAACCAATATTCACATTACATGTTTTTCACTACCAACTTTTAAGTATTTATTCGTATTTATAATAAATCGTACAATCATTTTTATAATTTAAATTATATATATCACAATAAAAGATATAATTAAAAGATGGACATTAAATTGACCCGTCTACAACTGATATCTCATAGATACGTTCACATCTGCCCGTGAATTCAGATGAGTTAACACAACTCAGTTGAATCCAGATGAGTTAATTTTAAAACTACAGAAAATAATAAAATTATATTTCCAGTTGAATCCAAAAATTAGTCAATTTTTCCAAACCTAAAATTTATGACAGCTTCCCCTCAAATATGAGTTTTAAATCCTTCTTATTATATCATATTTATAATTTTTACAACACCCCCTCCTTAAATTTCAGTTCTAAATAAATATCTATACTCCATGATACCTTGAAATAAGTTATCTAGTTGAAATTAGTTAAAATAATAAGTTATTTGTGTTTATAGTATAACATAAATCTTTCTCATTTATAAGTCTTTTAACATATCAACATGTAGACATTTTGTTTATAAGTGCCTTGAATCTGTTTGACGATTTATAAAATTATTGTTAACTTATTTCTGTTAAAAAACAATTGCATCAATAGTTAAATTATTTTCGTTTATAAAAATATTTGTAACTTGTTACGTTTATAAAAATTATTATTACTTATTTCCGTTTATACAAATAATTATATCAACATGGAGATTCTTTCCCATTTATAAGTGCTTTGAATCCATAATATTTTTAACTTATTCCTATTAAAAACAATTGTATTAATAGTTAAATTTTTATCGTTTATAAAAATATTTGTAACTTATTTCCATCTGTAACTTATTTCCATTTGTAACTTATTTCTATAATACATTCATTTTTGCTATAATAGAAATTTATTATTGATAATACAAAATTACATATTAAACAATAATATAACATTTATTATTTTAATTGATTTACAATAAATAATAATAATTAAGTTTTTAATAATTTCCTATTACAAAGAAATATAATAACCCCGTTTTTAATTAACTTAATTTTTCAATTATTTTTCATTTACAAAAAAATGATTTACCTACAATTATATTTCCAAAAGTTTATTTTTAATTGATTTATAATAAATAATAATAATTTAATTTTTAACAACTTCCCAATAGCATGCAACATAGCAGTTCAAATTCTGATAATTTAAAATCGGAAGAACATTTTAAATTGAATAATTATTTGTTTGATATTTAATGGATACCAATTTTTAAATGGAAAATTTATTATATAGAATCATTATCATTAATAAATGTGAAATACTACATTCATGTCCCCTCGGTTTTTGCAAAGTTATTGGTCATAATTAATATGGAATATTAATTAAATATTATATTTTATTTAAAATAATTAGAAATGCAAAATAATACATGGAGCATAAAAATTAATGTTTAATTATTTATAATTTAGATTATTTGTATAGACTTTTTTCCTTCAAAATCTTCAATCACTTTGAAAACCAATGCCCAAAAATACAAAGGATAAGATAAATAAAAACTATTTAAAAGTTTAATATAAAAGTAAAAATACATACTAATACAATCAATGTTACAACTATTGATTAACTTAACAACTAATGATTAATTTAAAACACGACTATTAAAACTGCAATAAATTATCAGTCATATATACATTCACTAATAATCATAAAAAAAGAGTAACATAAACATTCATATACATTCAAAAATATATTTTTATTGAGGCCACCACCCGAATTTCCAAAAAACTTTACCTGAAGGAAAAAATTGACACAAAATCAGAAAGAAAAAAATGATTATAGCCTCATATTGTTATCACTCTCATTACTATCAGTAGGAAGAATTTGGTTTTTCTGAACACAATAAAGTTTGAAATAGCTATTAGTTGTATCAGTATAGAAGACATATGTATGACATAGAAAACCAATATATATATATATATATATATATATATATATATATATATATATATATATATATATATATATATATATATATATATATATATATATATATATATATATATATATATAGTAAAATCACCATTGTATTTAGTAGATGAGTGATTTTAGATAAAGTGGAAACATAAATCACAATCCAACATAATAGAAAATAACTTGCACCTAGAAACTGTGTAAAAATATCATGAAGTAATTTATCTATGTCATCATCAAACCTTCTATATTTATTATGTAGTTTCAGAATTTTGATAGACCCATTATGAGAGGGTGGCTATAAAGGAAGTCATGGGAGAGGTAAGGGGCCGGAGTGAACTCTATTGAATGGTTTTACAGTAGCTTTAATTGTATAGAGAAGTCGTTTCTCTATCAGCAAGGATGTTATCTTCCAGTACAATTTCCTGTTTTCATCTCGCAAGGAGCTAGTATGCAGCCATTTGCATAGTTTTTCCATTAATTTTATGAGATTGCAACACTGTAACAAATACAATATATATCTATGGTAGCAAAAATTCAGTATTATTCAATTTCACCATTCCAATTTCAGATACCTATCAAATTTAAATAGCACATATTTTTCACTGTGTAAGGTCCAATTTGTACAGCAGTTTAGAAACTTGTAGCTAATTATGTGCTCATAAATATCAACCCGAGAGTACCATTTGCAGTTGGCATATTTGTTGTGTATAAGATGTTTTCATCATTTGATGAATTAATAAATTATGCATTCTAGCAATAATCATACATTTTCATATTGCTTGCAGGTTTACCTTCACTGGTTGAAGACACATATTGCTTACCTCATCTCTCAATCTAAAATAAGCAAATTATCCATTAGTATATCTATTTACAAAAAACAAAATCTTCTTCAAGGCATAACCTTAACCGTAAATTAGCACACTCTCAAAGAACTTACCTGTCTTCTGCAATAATCATTATGTCACCCGTAATTTCCAATACCAATGGAATCCACATTAACAGAATGTAATGAAGCTAAGGTCTTGGCAGTTTCGCAATAAAAGATGTATTGGTTGCAAACAGAAATTGTGAGAAAGTACTTTTTTTAAATAATCACTTTTTAAATGCAAAGAAATATATTAACCCTCTTCTGCATATATTCAATTTCAGCGAATAACAGCTCCTACTGAGCATGTCCTTTTCATCATCAATTTCATATGCATCGATATGTATTCAACCTGCAAACGCGTGAGAACAAAATCAGTTTCATACATAAAATATGCCATTCGAAATACATACATACACACGCGATTAACACATAACTCATCACTTCCAGCTCTTCCACTGGTAATTGAGATTCCTACAATCTCATTTGAAGCGCTATACGTCTGAAACAAAACAGTAACAAATTTGAAATAATTAATAACACTTGATATCACATATATACAACAGAAATCGGCCAAATCTATTGTTATGAGAATAGAGAACTTACAGCATTAGGCGGTTCGAATTAAAATACCTAAAACTCTATCATGAGATCCCTGAATTTCTTAATCTAGAAATTGTGATTGCAAGAAAAAGTAGATATTTCAGCTTCTCAAGATGTTTTATCAAGTAAGCTAATAAAAATATGTATTATAAATTTACTTTGTCATATTCATCCTTGCTCTATCGATACCAGTTCCCTTCTCACAGCCAAGCTTTTGTCTATTGTTTAGATTCTGCACCCAAAAATGTCCCAATTATATAACTCCTTTATAACAAACCGACATATACTAACAAATATCCATCTAGCATCCCCTTACTTCTTTGTTGATAGCTTCAATTTTTTGGTTTGACTCCATATGCAATCAAATCTATGATATTTGAAAATATGATATTTGTGTTAATGATTTATTGTACTATCAAATATTTCATATGGGCTTAACTTTAATCATTTATATATATAGCTTCATATGACTTTGACTTGGCGGTCAAGAACACAATGAAAATAAACTTCTTATAAATATACATTAGTCAGTAGAGATGGTAAACATTAAAATAAATTTCTTTAAGTTTATATATTTCCATAATACTTACTGTAGGCAGAGATATTGCCCTTAACATCAACAATGTCCCTAATAATATCCATCAGAAAACTTATCCACCATGTTTTGTTCAAAGCATAAGTCCTAATAACCTGCAAAATACAATGACACAGCAATATAACAGTAAATTTATGACCACAGACAAAACCTTTTCTTATTCAATTTAATTCATTTTCACTACATTCATGAGAAAATCTTCAATTGATAACAAATAAGTTCATAGAATACAAACAATAATGCTTATGTGCTCTAAAAAATTTTCTATTTTGATGTCTTCGCAATTGCTTGAATAGAACCAGTAGAAACATTTTGAAAGATCTAGAAAACTCAAAAAGCCGTGGATGTAAAATTTATTGATATTCATAGATCTGGAATTAGAAACATAATATTCAAATAGTCTTGAATAATCTTCATAAAATAAAAAGCAACTAAGATGGTTAAAAACCAATTATTTGCACTTACTTCTTTGATTTCTCCATGAATTCCAAAGATATACTTAAGCTCATCATTTCAAACAGATTAGTCGATACCGGAGAACAAACAGACACAAACAAAATAGTTATTAATTTATTAGATCGGTTGAATTGAGAATTTATGATTCAGAGAATTTTTTATTTGGAACACCCAACATTAAACCAAAAATCCAAATACAAAATCAACAACTAAATACAAGCAGGTGTAAAGCAATTATACCTTGAGTGAAACAATATGTTTCATAGCTACTTGCTTCTTCAAAGATTCAATAACCGATAACACATTTTTAACCGCAGAACCGGTATCCTTCACTTTCGTTGTCTGCATCGTAAACAAACATTAAATCAACACACTTACAATTATATTACCTTTATTAATTAATAAAAAATTACAACTCAAAAAAGCTAAAAGCTACACTAAATCTGCAGTGAAACCAAACACTTCCTTATATATAATGTAGCAACTTTATCAGTTTACTCCAAAAAAATACAGTACAAATGTTTATACATCAATGGGTTAAAAATATAACAAAATAACTAAGAAAATCAAAACGAAGATCAAACAATGATTGAAGCTGAAAAGTAAAACAACAAAAAACAAAGATAGAAATCATAAGCAGCTATGATTAGTTTTAAAAGAGAATCATTGTTAGACACTTTGAAATTATGCATTATGTATGAGCATCTAGCAGCAAGATGTTCCTTGAATTTTGAAACTAAAAAGGTAATACAATGGCTTGAATCATATCTCTCTACAAAAAAACAATTATAAAAAGTCAATATTACAGACACCCAAAGGTTTGAGAAGGTATATTACGAACATAACCACCGCCGCCATACCTTAGAATCAACCAAATTCATCTCAATGTGTTCCTTTTTCGAAGAACTCGTCACATGCTAGACATGTCTGCACCTAACAGCAATCTTCCATGAATCTTTTGACTCATTGATGTCCTTTACAGTTTCAAGAGGGCGAGCCATAGATGATGTTATAAGCTGTAACAACAACAGAAAAAGCATAGAATCAGTTTATACCTATAGGAACCATAAGCTTGATGATTCCAAAAAATCAGACAAAAAAGAAATTGAAACAATAAGGGGCCAAACAATCAAATTGACTACCTGGTGAATCCAAACTTGGAGAAAGAATAACTTCTTTTCATTGTAAATCAAAATCAATGGATTTCTTTTCATTTTTAAAGAAATAAAACCCACATCTCAAATTTCTACCATTTTTAGCAAATGATATCAAGACAAATCAATAATTGAAATGAACACATGGAATGAAATAGAGGTACCACAAACGTACGCCCAGAGATGGAAAGCTACGTATCGCGTTCGACGGATTTATGCGTTTTAAGGACAACTTCGTTAAGGTTGAGGGAAGAAATGAAGAAGAACAAAGTATTACAGATGAAGAGATTTGAATGAAATACAAATCAATAAAAGAATTTTGGAGAGGATGGAAACGTTTTGTGTTTCTCCATGTGATTAATATGGCTGCACATCAATTCTTTAACTTTGGAATTTTAATAATGAGCGACAATATTCCAATTGAATGGCAAGGAATAATGGTTTGGCATGGGGAAGAGGAAGAGAGGCATAATGGTTGGGCATGGATTTATTTAAAAAACAAAAATTGAAAATGTGGTGAAAAATTGTGGGAGTGCCACATCAGATTCAAATGAATGTGGTGCAAGATATTTTTGAGTTTCCTATTTTACCCCAATACAATAGACCAAGAAAGCATTTTATCAGCTTTGGTGTCGTGGTAATTTCCAGGGACATAGATTTTTATAGATAGATAATAGATGGATGGTAGCCTTGTCATTATGGAAGGTAGTTTGTTGTCGAGATTTTTGTTATTCCAATGGAAGGTAACCTTATCATTATGGAAAGTAGTCCACTTTCGATATTTTTGTTACTCCAATGGATGGTAGTCTTGTCATTATGGAAGGTAGTCTATTGTTGATATCTTTGTTACTCCAATGGACGGTAGCCTTGTCATTATGGAAGGTAGTCTGTTGTCGAGATATTTGTTACTCCAATGGATGGTAGCCTTGCCATTTTAGAAGGTAGTCTTTTGTAGAGATTTTTGTTATTCCATTGGATGGTAGCCTTGTCCTTATGTAAGGTAGTCTGATGTCGAGATTTTTGTTACTCCAATGGATGGTAGCCTTGTCATTATGGAAGGTAGTCTGTTGTCGAGATTTTTGTTATTCCAATGGACGGTAGCCTTATCATTATGAAAGGTAGTCTGTTTTTTGATATTTTTGGTACTCCATTGGATGGTAGCCTTGTCATTATGGAAGGTAGTCTGTTGTCAATATTTTTGTTACTCCAATGGATGGTAGCCTTGCCATTATGGAAGGTAGTCTATTGTCGAGATTTTTCTTACACTAATATATGGTAGCCTTGTCATTATGGAAGGTAGTCTATGGTCGAGATTTTTTTTACTCCAATGGATAATAGCCTTGTCATTATGGAAGGTAGTCTCTTGTCGATATTTTTCTTACTCCAATGGATGATAGCCTTGTCACTATGGAAGGTAGCTTGTCGTTTGGATTTTGGTTACTCTAATGGATGGTAGCCTTATCATGATGGAAGGTAGTCTGTTGTCGAGATAATTGTTATTCCAATGGATGGTAACCTTGTCATTATGGAAGGTAGTCTTTAGTCGAGATTTTTGTAACTCCAATGGATGGTAACCTTATCATTATGGAAGGTAGTCTATTTTCGATATTTTTGTTACTCCAATGGATGGTAGTCTTGTCATTATGGAAGGTAGTCTATTGTTGATATCTTTGTTACTCCAATGGACGGTAGCCTTGTAATTATGGAAGGTAGTCTGTTGTCGAGATATTTTTTACTCCAATGGATGGTAGCCTTGCCATTTTGGAAGGTAGTCTTTTGTCGAGATTTTTGTTATTCCATTGGATGATAGCCTTGTCCTTATGGAAGGTAGTCTGTTATCGAGATTTTTGTTACTTCAATGGATGGTAGCCTAGTCATTATGGAAGGTAGTCTGTTGTCGAGATTTTTGTTACTCTAATGGATGGTAGCCTTGTCATTATGGAAGGTAGTATGTTGTCGAGATTTTTGTTATTCCAATGGATGGTAGCCTTGTCATTATGGAAGGTAGTCTGTTTTTTGATATTTTTTGTACTCTATTGGATGGTAGCCTTGCCATTATGGAAGGTAGTTTGTTGTCAATATTTTTGTTACTCTAATGGATGGTAGCCTTGTCATTATAGAAGGTAGTCAGTTGTCAATATCTTTGTTACTCCAATAGATGGTAGCCTTGTCATTATAGAAGGTAGTCTGTTATCGAGATTTTTGTGACTCCAATGGATGGTAGCCTTGCCATTATGGAAGGTAGTCTGTTGTCGAGATTTTTCTTACTTCAATGGATGGTAGCCTTGTCATTTTGGAAGGTAGTTTGTTGTCGAGATTTTTGTTACTCCAATGGATTGTTGCCTTGTCATTATGGAAGGTAGTCTGTTCTTGGATATTTTTGGTACTCCATTGGATGGTAGCCTTGTCATTATGGAAGGTAGTTTGTTGTCAATATTTTTGTTACTCCAATGGATGGTAGCCTTGTCATTATGGAAGGTAGCCAGTTGCCGATATCTTTGTTACTCCAATGGATGGTAGCCTTGTCATTTTAGAAGGTAGTCTGTTATCGAAATTTTTGTTACTCCAATGGATGGTAGCCTTGTCATTATGGAAGGTAGTCAGTTATCAATATCTTTGTTACTCCAATGGATGGTAGCCTTGTCATTATAGAAAGTAGTTTGTTATCGATATTTTTGTTACTCTAATAGATGGTAGCCTTGCCATTATGGAAGGTAGTCTGTTGTCTAGATTTTTCTTACTTCAATGGATTGTAGCCTTGTCATTTTGGAAGGTAGTCTGTTGTCGAGATTTTGTTACTCCAATGGATTGTAACCTTGTCATTATGGAAGGTAGTTTGTTGTCAAATTTTTGTTATTCCAATGGATGGTAACCTTGTCATTATGGAAGGTAGTCTATTGTCGAGATTTTTTTTACTCCAATGGAAGGTAGCCTTGTCATTATGGAAGGTAGTCTGTTGTCGAGATTTTTGTTACTCCAATGGATGGTAGCCTTGTCATTATGGAAGGTAGTCTGTTGTCGAGATATTTCTTACACTAATAGATGGTAGCCTTGTTGTTATGGAAGGTAGTCTATTGTCGAGATTTTTTTTACTCCAATGGATAATAGCCTTGTCATTATGGAAGGTTGTCTCTTGTCGAGATTTTTCTTACTCCAATGGATGATAGCCTTGTCACTATGGAAGGTAGCTTGTCGTTTGGATTTTGGTTACTCCAATGGATGGGAGCCTTGTCATGATAGAAGGTAGTCTTTAGTCGAGATTTTTATTACTCCAATGAATGGTAGCGTTGACATTATGTAAGGTAGTCTGTTGTCGATATCTTTGTTACTCAAATGGATGGTAGCCTTGTCATTATGGAAGGTAGTTTGTTGTCGAGATTTTTGTTACTCCAATGGATGATATCCTTGTCATTACTGAAGGTAGGTTGTTGTCGAGATTTTTGTTACTCCAATGGATGGTATCCTTGTAATTATGGAACTTAGTATGTTGAAGATGTTTTTGTTATTCCAATGGATGGTAGCCTTGTCATTATGGAAGGTAGTCTGTTGTCGAGATTTTTGTTACACCAATGGATGGTAGCCTTATCTTTATGGAAGGTAGTCTGTTGTCTAGATTTTGTTATTCCATTGGATGGTAGCCTTGTCATTATGGAAGGTAGTCTGTTGTTGAGATTTTTGTTACTCCAATGAATGGCAGCCTTGTCATTATGGAAGGTAGTCTGTCGTTCAAATCTTTGTTACTCCAATGGATGATAGCCTTGTCATTATGCAAGGTAGTATGTTGTCGAGATTTTTATTACTCCAATGGATGATAGCCTTGTCACTATGGAAGGTAGCTTGTCGTTTGGATTTTGGTAACTCCAATGGATGGTAGCCTTGTCATGATGGAAGGTAGTCTATTGTTGAGATATTTGTTATTCCAATGGATGGTAACCTTGTAATTATTGAATGTAGTCTTTAGTAGATATTTTTGTTACTCCAATGGATGGTAGCCTTGACATTATGGAAGGTAGTCTGTTGTCGATATCTTTTTTACTCCAATGGAAGGTAGCCTTGTCATTAGGGAAGGTAGTCTGTTGTCGAGATTTTTGTTATTCCAATGGATGGTAACCTTGTCATTATGGAAGGTAGTCTGTTTTCGATATTTTTGTTACTCCAATGGATGGTAGTCTTGCCATTATGGAAGGTAGTATGTTTTCGATTTCTTTGTTACTCCAATGGAATGTATCCTTGTCATTATGGAAGGTAGTCTGTTGTTGAGATTTTTTTTACTCCAATGGATGGTAGCCTTGTCATTATTGAAGGTAGTCTGTTGTCGAGATTTTTGTTACTCCAATGGATGGTAGCCTTGTCATTTTGGAACGTAGTTTGTTGTCTAGATTTTTGTTACTCCAATGGATGGTACCCTTGTCATTATGGAACGTAGTCTGTTATAGATAGTTTTGGTACTCCAATGGATGGTAGCCTTGTCATTATGGAAGGTAGTCTGTTGTCGAGATTTTTCTTACACTAATAGATGGTAGCCTTGTCATTATGGAAGGTAGTCTATGGACGAGATTTTTTTTTACTCCAATGGATAATATCCTTGTCATTATGGAAGGTAGTCTCTTGTCGATATTTTTCTTACTCCAATGGATGATAGCCTTGTCACTATGGAAGGTAGCTTGTCGTTTGAATTTTGGTTACTCCAATGGATGGTAGCCTTATCATGATGGAAGGTAGTCTGTTGTCTAGATATTTGTTATTCCAATGGATGGTAACCTTGTAATTATGGAAGGTAGTCTTTGGTCGAGATTTTTGTTACTCCAATGGATGGTAGCCTTGACATTATGTAAGGTAGTCTATTGTCGATATCTTTGTTACTCCAATGGATGGTAGCCTTGTCATTATGGAAGGTAGTCTGTTGTCGAGATTTTTGTTACTCCATTGGATGGTACCGTTGTCATTATGGAACGTAGTCTGTTATAGATATTTTTGTTACTCCAATGGATGGTAGCCATGTCATTATGGAAGGTAGTTTGTTGTCAAGATTATTCTTACACCAATAAATGGTAGCCTTG